AGCTCTAATGGATATGGTCTGGGTGTCAACAATGGCTTTTGGCATTTGTTTTGGGTTTTGGACAATCCTTGTTTGTGAAAAGTGGTAAAAATAGGTTTGGGTGTTCAACTTCCTCGTGTGACTTCTTTTGAAAGTAAAACTCCTGCCATTAGCTGGATTATGAAAAAAGCTTTCTGCAAACACTTAGATTATATCATTTGGACGCCGGATGGGGATTTAGGACATACCAGGAGTTTCCTAATTTTGCTATCAATGACAGTGGAATCTGCTGTCAAACGTGCAACATGCCATGGCGTATTGGCGCTTGAGCCGCGATGCGTGGCACAGAGAACAATGAGCCATAATGCATTGCTATATTTTTCAGCAAATTTGATGTTTTCTAACTATTTTTAATTTCTTTTATTCCTCTGAGATATTTCATACTTTTATAACTTATTTTTCTTTGATTAGAGAGTTAATGAATGGTTTGAACTCATTTCAACTTATGAAAATTTGGGATTCTTTTATTTTGAAGACTATAACTTAGTTTTCTCTTTAAAGGTTAATCTCTTGATTACCACTGAATTGAATTGTTAATAGTGTTTAGTAAAGGAGTTATTATACAAAGCAATTTGTGAAATGAAAATATAAATTGATGATACGGTGACACATAATGTGAGGTGGGGGTGACACATGGAGGATGATGTAGAAACATGTGATAGGTGACTAGGCGCCATGTGGGAGTATGAGGGTGATATGGTACCACATGTTAAGTGAACTAGTATCACTTTTTAGTGGCAACAAAAAGGTCGCCACTAATTGGTAATTTTTGTGGCAACATGCTCAACATTCAACAGCAACTAAATGGTCGCCATTAATGTAATGTGTATGTTGTTGTCAATCCTCAGTTTTTAACGGTGACTATCTTTATTTGTCAATAACTTTTCTTTTCTATGACAATACTTGTTGCCACTTATTAAATATTTTTAGTGGTAACTTTTATTATCATTACAAATAGAATTAACGACAAGAGCTTTTGCAGCAATATTTAAAAACTTTTAACGGTAACTTTTGAATTTTCAGTGACGATAAAAAATCAATTTTTTTGTAGTACATACTTTTCAAGCTCGTTATCACGAAAGCAAAACAAAGCAGCTACTACACACATAGTTATCAACATGGCTAATACATGCAAATGCAAGAGTAACATGCACGATTAATTAAGATCGAAATGAACTTAGAAATCGACCGAATATTTGAAGGGACTCTTGGTTTTTTATCCCTTTATCTGAACATGGGGAGCCACTCAAGCCATCTTTCTTGGTTGCTTCCGCTCGGATAATTGCCAAAGGGTCAGTGTCTGCGCGTAGTGAGATAGAGGGCAAGCCTTGATAACCAAGCTTAACGTTGATGGTATATATTTAATGGCATAGTTTATTAGCTTAATCAATTGTTGGCAAGTCTTTGTCAAAATTAAGCAATTAATTAACAGAAAAGTCAGAATTGTTTGTTATATCATTGTCTTGGGTTCCATGTGTTCCTTCAACCGTCTCCTTAATAACATGAGCCAAAGGGGCAAAAACAACTTGTAGGCGTTGTACACGTAAGGCCTACCTGCTCTGTGCCAGCGCTTACCAAATTTAATAGACCCTAAACTCTGCCAACGTTAGCCAGCGCAATAGGAATCATTAATTAAACCAATCGGATGGTGATCCACTTTTTTAATACCGCCTGATCAGGGTTTAAACTTGTCAATTATCCGCCACTAACTAGTCGCTTAATTAGATGTTCCTATTTCCTTCAAACCGGCCACAAGTTTCAAATCAGTGAGTCCGTGATGGAAACTATGGGCGCAAAGTAAGAGGGATTCTCTGTTATTTTGTGCAACTAGCAGCATATGTAAAGGGAAAAAATGTTCCTTTAATAAAAAATTTATTCATACACAACTAATGTGGACATGTGTTCCACAGAAACAGTAATTACTCATGAAGAGTACAATTAATTATGTTAGTCTTCCTGCATAGATACATATGTGTGTGTCTATACGTAAGTATATAGTTTTCAGCTATTTGATTGATATCATGACAGTGTTACTGCTGATCTAGTGATCTAGCTAGCAATCTTTTTAAACTATACCTAGGTTCAAGAAATCGAAGTGACAGTTTGTCAATATTACAATTTAATATCCCAAATTGAATATATTTGTACTAAAAAAATTCAAAGTTATATTTTTGTAACAATCAAAGTAGAATAATGTTGCCACGATAAAAATTAAAGTTCAAATTGTTATAAATCATAAAAAAAAAACATTTTTAAAGCTTAAAATCTTGAATTGTAATCTTTTAAAATTTCTACAATAATTTATATTTATGTTATCGGCGAATCCTTGCTTGTTTGGCAGTGTAACAGTGACGTGTTTAAACTGAAATAGTCCTTTCTCGAACTAGCTTTGAGCCACTTCTTCAGAGGATTTGTTAACCAAACATCAAAATGCCTTGATGGATATTATATTTCTGATTTACAATTGTAGACAGCAATGATTGACTAAGCATTTAATTTTTATCATCAAACAGTGTAAATTATTTTGAAACAAATTGTGTTTCAAAATACTGCAAAATATTTCTTTCATGTATCAAATCATAGCACGCAATTTTTTCAGAGGCGAAATAAAATTTTCGTCTGATATTTTCTTCTTATAACAACTAAAATGATAAACTGTGCGTCCTCTGAAACCTAAACAGTAACTCACTAGCAAAAGACATAGAACGAGAGAGACAGAGAAATTAATTAAGGACCAAATCTAAACAGCAGACAGAAGCACCTATAACTGTATCATTGTCCTCCATATGATTCTGAATAATAAAGCTGTCCACTGCAATATTAATATTGTTTTCCAGAAATGTTGAAACATGATATATTTAATACGTTTTCAGGTGAGCATGGCTGCACCTATTTTAATTGTAGTCTTTTAGGATCATAAGCGTGTTTATCATTAGGGCAAGTATTTTGAAATAACTAAACTATATATATATACACATATATTGTTGAATATTAATTTCTGGTCTGGCCTGGAAAAAAGCTTCTTGTTGCTTAGCCTGTCCTTTGCATGCAGAGTCATCATTTATACCTTATCTTACCTTTCATAATGATGCTAACCATTGACGTAGAAATGAGAGCAAACTTAGTTTGGATGGAATTATTTCAAATTGCCCAAAAACAGAAATGGAAGATTCAGAGTAAGTTTAGTAATAAATAGAGAACATTCCCTTCTTTATGCTCAATTTTTGAGTAAGAGTGTGCAAACAAAAGATGTCCTTGAATTCATCACTACCATATGCTTCACTCGCTTTTGAGTCTTCCAAAATTACGTTGTTAGTGGTCCAATCTTTATTCGACAGAGATAAGGAAAAATGTTGAGGTATATTTTGTTTTTTTTTTTTAAAGAAAATTTTAACACGTGTACAAATCACAAGAGATATTTGACCCAGGAGTGAAAGCCACCATATGGCACCATATAATGTCTAGTACTGCTTTCCTGATCACTACTACTACAATTCTATAATTAAGTCAATTTCTTATTTACATGAACAAATATTTAAATAACTATGTTTTTAAATAAAAGCAAGACATCTATAAATTGCGTGAAGTTTAATAAATGAATTGCACTAGATATAGTTTATTAAAAGTGAAAAATTACTATAGGTTTTATGTTCATAATGAAAGAGCGGTTACTCGTTAGTTTGTTTATCCAAGGATATCCTTAAATTTTGACATGAACACAAAATTAAGGGAAAAAATGAAATCAAATAAACGCCGCGTAAATCAGAGACCATGGAGTAGCCATGGACACACGACTCAATACAATAAATATAATAAAGATAACTCGTGTCTAATTAAATCAGGCGGTCAAAAATCAACTTGAATGAAACGTCAAGTACTTGTTAAGAGTGGCTTGTTTGGAACGAGGAGGGATCACCCTAGATTGGAGGAGAGATAAAATAGGTAAGAGTAAAGAAAAGATGTCACATTTTAACTCAAATTCTCAAGACTCAATTTTGTAAATCCTTATTTTTTATTATATATTAATTATTAAGTTTAATTTTATTAATTTTTCACATTATTTTTAGTTCACTTATATTTGAATAACTTAATGCGACGTATCTTCAATGAATTAAATTCTTTGAATTTATGAATTAGAAGGAGGTCATACGTGAGGAAGAAGGATCTTGTGGTGGTGGCCCACATAGAAACAGTGAGGGAGATGTATTTAACGTCGAGCAGTGAGAGATGAGTAGCATATGTGCGTGCGTGCGTGTGTATGGCTAAACGAAACAATGAACATTTTGCGAGATGAAGATGAGGGCAAGGTTGCTGTCTGTGTCTCGATCCCCATATACATAGAGCCAAGTTATTCCCAAAGATCATTCAATTTCAAAATATATTTTTAAATTGACCTCTCCTTTAGATAAAGAACCACGTCAACTTGCAAACAAAGACACTTCAGCATCATATTCTTGACCCTTTCTTCAGGCAACTCCTCTTCCCTCACGCATGCATCCTTCCACACTTTGTACTAACTTTCACTCTCATTTCCTTAAGATCTCACCCCCTTTCTTCACCAGTGACAAACGAGATTATTACATATACAAGGATTATGATTTGATACTCATACTATACATACATAAGGACCATGATGTCAGCCCCCGACCACTTTTCTAACCAGCCTGAGTTGACATATACCTTACACCTCAAGTGCGTGTGCTTGAAAATAAATGGAGAATTGAAGGAAGTGGAAAAGCTGATTGTCAAAATTTAAGAAACGCTCTTAATAATTTTCCCTACTTAAAATCGGTATCCGGTGAATCCGATGATAACATGTTGATACTAGTGTTTTTCTTTTTCCTTTTTTGTATTGCTTAATGTTTTTGCCGTCTGCATATAGCGTAAAACCACAAAAGAATATATATGCTTTGTATATGTTTCTTTTTTCCAAGGGCATGCATGAGAGTGATGCAAATACATAAACTAAGTAGACACTTGTATTAACTTAGCAGTATATACAATGACAACAGATTAATCCTTTTCTAATATTAAAACAACTTGATACTCTACTGTTAAATTACATAAAAAAAAACAGAACACTGAAAGAAAAAATTGAAGACCCATATGACTACATAAATGCTGATCCAAACATCGTCTTCCCCACATGTTCATGGTACTGTTTGTTATCTCCAGCTCGCATCAACCCCCTCAAACATGCATGCTAGATAAGTGCCAAGTCTACATAGATTCAGCCTAGAAACATTCTTAGATTAAACTAATTACGAATAAACATAAAATTATGTAAGACACGCCGTATACACATATTTATGATATGCTTATTCATAACTATTTCAATCCATCATTTTCTTTTCTTAAAGATATTTTTCTTCCACACTCTACCTCATATTTTTTTTTCGCCCTTTATATGATATCTTAATTTTAACCTAACCCACCACGCCTAGGGCACGCTTTGACCATGAGAGGATTGGCCATTTCGCTTGATAGCCTCAGCACTTCCGATAGATCCACCTCGTTCTCACCCGACGGTAGCCACTGAAACTCATGCAAAAGTGAAGCCACCCAAAAGGTCACTGTGGCGAAGCCCAATGACTTGCCCGGGCACGTTCTTCTGCCCGACCCGAATGGTGCCAGCCTGAGATCCGAACCGAATACTGAAAATTCCCCGTCCCCTTCGCTGGAAACGAACCTCTCGGGTATAAATTTCAGCGGGTCCCTCCACACTATTGGGTCCCGGGCTATGGCCCACATGTTCACCATGGCCGTGGTCCCCTTCGGCACGTGATGCCCATCAATGCTGGTATCGGTGTTGGCCAAGCGAGCCCACGATAGCAGTGGGCCCGGGGGGTGCAGCCTCAACACCTCCTTCACCACCGCCGGCAAGTACACCATCGCCACCACATCCGCCTCCGTGACGGCCCGTGACTTCCCTACCACTCGGTCAAGCTCCGCTTGAACCTTTGACTGCACGTCAGGATGAAGCACCATCCTCGCCAATATCCACTCAATCAGAATCGCCACCGTGTCAGTGCCCCTGAATATCATTTCCTGCAAAAATATATCCATTTAGCTGCACTTCCACATTTTTAATATTCTTCTTCGCTGCACAAAAAATAAAAAGGTACAGTTGAAAAATATAATTCTAGCAAGATAAATAAATTCGAAGAAGCAGTTTATATTTACCCAAAGTACGGCGACCATGTCGGAGTCGGATAGTTTATCGGGTTCATGGAGGGAGAGCAAGACGTCAACAAAATCCCGGTTCGTTCGGTCGTTTTCGGCTCGATGGTCGGCCAGTATCTTACCAACGAACCGGTTCACTTTGGGGACCAGTTTGGAGCACCTGAGCCGGATTCTCTGAGCATCCAAATCCGAAAGCCAAGGGAGATGGTCCCCCAAGTTAAGGGTACCCAGCAAGTCGTACCCTTCCTCTACTAACCGGCTCAGCTCCTCCATTTCCCAGTTTGACTCGTCCACCCTATAACACTTGCCGAACACGGAGCACATCATGTGGCTCAGAGACGCCTTCTTGAGAACATGCCGAACCGGAAAGCCTTTATAATCGTCAATCTCGCTTCCAAACACTCCCACCATTTGAGCAGCGATTTCGGACCTGTAAGACTCGGACGCTTTTATCTGCTTGGGAGAGAAGAGATGATTGGCAGCGATTCTCCTCAGGGTGCGCCAGTAGAGTCCATAAGGAGCAAAACCAATTGCTCGATTGAACATCAAGCTGTAAGCGGACTCCTTGATGGGTCGATCAGCGAAGACGGGGCTGTTCAAGATCTCCCTGGAGACGTCGGGGTGGCAAGACACGATGACTCGCGTGTGGCCGAGGCTGTAGGCCATGAGGCGGCTGGCGTTGCATGCGGAGGCGGCGGCGGCGATGCGGCGGTGGGCGAGGGAGGAGGACATGAGAGGGATGCTGCCCAAGAGAGGGAGGCCTCTGGGACCAGGAATCACGGGGGTTGTCTTTCGAATCCAGGAGTAGTACCTGCCCCAAGCAGGACCGCCGGGGTGAGACCAGTGGAAGAAGGAGACGACAAGGAAGAGGAGGAGGAGGAGGAGGAGGGTGCAGGGGAGGTTATCGTGGGTGCATTTGGAGGGTAAGAGGAAGAGCCAGAGGGTGTCAATGTGGGTGGTCATGCCGTCGGCGGAGGAGGAGGAGGTATGTGAGCAAGAGCGAGAGTGAGAGGTGGTGGATTGAGGGAGGTGAGTGGAATGAAGGTTGCTTGGGTTTATATAGGGAGAAAGGAGACTGCAGTGAAGGCAGCTTAAAGAATACTTCCTCAGCAGAAAAATATTGGCATTTTTATGCGAAACTCAACCCATGTTATTTATATTTAAATTAATTATATTTTATTATATTTATCTCTATTTTAATAAATATTTTATTTTAAAATAAATATAAAGTAATTTATTCAATAAAAATATTTTAAAAAAAGACAATCATTACCACGACTAAAAATATTTTATATTTTTTAATATTTAACTCTTCAAAAAATTACTTATATTTTTTAAGATAGGAACTAAGCATTTTGGTCATGATTATTGTTAAGATTAATATGGAGAGCAACCGCGCATAAATGAGCTTATATTTATACTCATATTCAGATTTACTCCATTTTAATTTTTATTATTCTTTCTTGGATAACTAATAGTAGTGAAAACGGCCCTTTATTAAATAAATAATTAATATAAAACAGCAGAGAGATTTTATGCCCAATTTTATTTTTTTATATTGTTCTTTCTTATTAATTATACATCAATAAAGAAAGACTCAAAAGTTTCAAGACAACGCGAGAAACAATAATAAAATAATTGTAATAAAAATAAGACTTTAAAACTTTTATGAGTAAAATAGGAAGCTTGGACAGCAAGGAGAGTTTAAAGTTTAAACACGAGCTCAGTTGGTCCGTACCGTTTGGCCATCATCCATAGACAAATATCAATATCATTGATATATTAATATGACATATAAACAAGTTTAATCAGGAGAGTTTTACCACGGACCAGCGGAAGAAATTTGCTTCTCATACTTTCTTATGTTAATCCTTTTCTTAAACTTTTTTTTTGGGGGGGGGGGTTGGGGGACATATCTTTTTCTTGAACCATCCTCATTTTATTTTTATCGTCTTACGTATAGACTAATTTCAATTTTTTGTAAATATATTTTTATTCACTATACTATGACAATCTCAAATTGAAATTGTTTGATTTAGTAATAGTAAGAAGTATTAAATTCACTATACTATTAGATTTATTGCAATTTTTTCTTTGGGAACCGGATCAATTACATCCCAAACCGTTTAGTGTTCTGAGTCGGCCGTGCTCGGAGGTAGGCGGCGGCGGCGATCATCAGGGTCAATGCCGAACTCAACCCGACAGGTCTTTTTGAAGAGATTCGCCGTCAGGGGTGGACGACGACGTCTCCGAAGAAGGATGCTGCTCCGTCGGGACAAATGGTCACCACCTGTCTGCCTCCCCTCTTTGTCCAGCCTCCACATCTTCTATTTTTTCTTTCCTTTTCTTTACTTTTCTTTTTTTCTTTTTTAGTTTGTAAATGAAAAAATAACAATAATTTTTTTAAAAATATATAAATAATAATTTAATTTCTTAAAATATCATAATTTCTCTGAAGTTCTTATGGGCTTTTCTATCATTAATGAATTTATTTAAATTACCAAATAAATAATTTATAAATTTTATTTAAATATTCACAATTTTTCTTTTTATATTCGCAATAATGCAACAACAAATAAGGAATTTAACATGTAAAGTTGTGATTTACTTTTGCTTTATTGCAAATATAAGAAGAAAACTATAAATATTTAAACAAAACTTGTGACTCATTTATTTTTAACAAAGAAAATTTGTTAATTTAAATAAATTTATTAATAACAGAAAAATTCCTGAAAACTTTAAAAAATTATGACATTTTAAAGAATCAAATTATTATTTATATATTTTAAAAAATTATTATTATTATTTTTCCTTTAATCATCTAGGAACACCTTTTACAAGGCATCCTACAAATTATTATAAATTTTATGCTATACGCTAATATATCTGATTGTTTCCTCGGCTATTAACTCTTACCATCCTACCATAAGTACGTAAAGTCCTTGTCCCTTTATTTCCTTATAAATTACAAATAGACTAATTAAATAATAAATTGAGAATTTGTAAATTTTAAAAGTTGACAAGTGAAGATTTATAAATAAAAATAATATTAAAGTATTAATATTTTACTAAAAAACTATTAAAATAAATACAATATTTTTTAGGCACTTACCAATATTATTTCCAACAAAGCCAATCACAGTGTCTTGTTAGTGATATTTTGATATCCTGCGTGGATAAAAAATAATATTAATTTATTGTTATTTATTTTATAATTTAAGTGATTTAATTTATACTATTTTCTAAAGAATACTTATTTATAATTTTGTATGCCTTTATAGTAATTTTATTGACTTTTATTGGAGGGATGACATTATTTCGCTTTTAACATATGTTACCCCTTGAATTGAGGCCAAACAATGGACTGAAAAAAATTTGAAGTTCAAATTAGCAGTTTAATCCGACTAAAAGTTGACATTATTTCGCTTTGGAGTATTATTTTCTTTTATTTTTTGAAACCAACTAAATAACTTCATAACTAATTAGTCATCATGGTCTAATTAATGAACTTTTTTAAAGTAATTTTAAATTTTTAAAAATATTATTTGAGTTTTAATTTAATTCTTTAATGTTTCATTTACATAAAGTTGTTAATGGATTCTTGCCATGAAAACTAGATAGATTTTTTTTCCCGAACAGACAAACCATTCTCTTATAAGAGTGCTGATGTCCCTCTCTATGTTATCGTCACCTGCAAAAACTAGATAGGATTAATAGGCATTAGTCTTAATAGACAAGCTTAAGTACAAGGTATTGAGTTTAAACTTGTATGAATATTTAAAAAACACACACACACATTTGTAAAAGCTGACCCACTTGTGTCTCTTTCTTTTTCTTTTTTTTTTTTTCCTTCCTTCTTTTGAATTTTTTCAAGTCCATATGCCCTCAATGCATGCCTTCAAGTCCTTGATGATGATGCCCTTTTACTTCAAATCCTTTGACCCAATTGTGTCTAGCAATGCTTAAATAATAAATGCTGGATAGAGTAATATGAATGGTATTGTTTATTACTCTAAAAAATTATACTGGGACAGTATTAAAAACAAAAAAACAAAAAAACTTATACTGCGACTCTTAGAAAATTGTAAACCTTGCCTCAATTCAAAATTCAAGTTGTTTGGTTATGAGCCCCAGAAATTCTATCATCGTTTAGTTATTGCTACATGACTATTTTATTTCAAGTATCCAGTCAAAGTTTAAATAAAAATTAAAATTACAGTTAAATGTCTACATTTAATACCCAACTATGTATGGAATAGAATTATCTTCAATAGAAAGATATCTATAAATAATCAAAAAAATAATATTATAGTTAAAAATTATATTAATGTTATGAATAAAATATAGAGAGAATGAAAATGAGAAGATGAGGAGGAGGAGGACAAAGAATAGAGGCAATAGAAATGAGGATAACATCTCTTATATTATTTTTCATGTTTACAATACAAATGACATGTCATATTTATAAGCATGGACTTATATCAAAAGGTTGCACAAATGATAATGGCAAATAAAGCAAAATCAATACTCATGATAGTAAGAGTTTTATAGGAGAAGATAAAAATGAAGAGATAAGAGAGATGAACATTCACATGATTCTTAATATTTATAACACTTTTTCTTAAATGTCTATTGTATAAAAATGTGCCTCGTTAAAAATTTTGATTAGAAAAAATCTTATGGGACAAAAACCTAACAGAAGAAAAGAGTATAACATTCAATTGTACGATATCCAATGTTACTTTATTAAAAACCTTACCAGGAGAATCCAATGGAACAAAACCTTGATTAAGGAAAAAAGAGTACAGCATGTATTTACTTCCCCTAATTACAACAACACTTTTACATTATTGCACTTCAAGATAACATACTAATTTCTCAAATGTGACTGTTGTCAATATTTTTTCAAGTAGATCTTACTCCTGGTCAAACCATGCTAGATGTGTTGTCATATTTAGAAGATATATTTTTAGAACATAATACTTTTCTCATATTATCATATCTCTTTTTTAATACTCCCTTTGATCCTATTTATAAATCACTTCCCGCATGTTTCATTAAAACTAAGGAAAACCTTAAATCTCTAACTTTGTTTTAAAATTTAACAAGTTTCCACACTTATTCCTAATAAATGTTCTTAAATCTTATTATTAATATTTTTATTCAAAGCATCTAATAAAGGCAAAAATGTGAAGAGGAGCATTGGGAATTGACACGTGTTCTATAAATAGGATCAAATTTTTCTTCTTCTCTCTCTACCCTATAAATAGGACTAGAGGAGTATTTGTTAGTTCACCAAAAACTTAAATTTGCTAACAAAGTTGTATCATATATAATATTAGCCAAATGTATAAATATCAATAAATATGTGATACTTCAAGACTAATCAAGACTAATCAATTCAGTATAGTCTTACTGACAAAATAAACATAACATAATAATTTTATAATCATTGAGTATTAAATACTCAATCAACAAGTTGAATGTAAAATAGATATCAAAATTTCATTCTCACATTATTTTGATCAAAACTTGTTTTCAATACACATTTGTAAAGACAATATATATATATATATATATAAACATACACTTGAATAACAACAATTCACACAAGCTTAACAACTTACATATGTATATATGTTAAATATTCTTGAGAATTTTTCATGCTTCTAGCATTTTAACTTCTTCAAAGATTGTCATGTAAAATGCTATAATAATATTCAATAGATGCATCATATGTCAATTCAATATACGATCAGAGTAATAATATATATACAAAAATTCACTACAAGATAATATACTTGACTATTATTAGACCTTTGTGATCTTTATTTTCATGTAAATGTTCATTTATCTTGTAATAACATTTACATTTCAAGTATTTGTAATGCATGTCCATGATTTTTACATATTAAAAATTAATATAATTCTACTCATATTTTGTCTTTTCCTTTGCCTTTTTCCATTAGGTTAATAGTCATTTTTATCCTCAACTATACACAAAAAGTTACAAATGTCCTTAAACTTAACTAAAGGTCAATTTT